GCACTGTTACTTTTAGAGAGAAATTTATTTACTTTAATAAAAATCCTATATATTTATTAAAAATTTAAATCCTCATTAATTACTATTTTTAATTACATATATTTTATTTATGCTGTTATGTGTAATTCTTAGCAGTTCTAACATATTTCTATCAAATTAACAAACATAAATAATTAACAAAATACAGAATAAATTATATAAATATCACAAAACACGAAAATTTTACTATTGCTAATATAAAATTTTCTTATATAAATTTAAGCAAAAAAAAAAAAAAAAATACCACAAGAAATTTATTAGTCAACAAACATTCTTTTTAATTTTTTAGCAATTAAATCTCTCAAAAAAAAATTTATTTTTTTTGTATCTATAACATGTAAAAGGAAACGAAAAAAAATTTTTTTTTTTTTTTTTATATAGCATTTATATGGTTAATTTTTTATTTTCCGTACAGCTTTTACTTTTTATTCTCAAAAAGGTTAAAAATTCTTTTTATTAATCAAATATACATAATATTCATATTTAGATTCATTTTTAATATTTTCAGGTTAATTAATGTAGCATCTATGCATGTGATTTATTAATTCCCTATTCAATGACTTTGCTAGCGTCAAAAAAACAAATTAATAAAGAACATGTAGAGTAAACTCTACTTAATTTAATTTTTAATTTAAAGTCTTTATTTTTATTAATCATTATCAAGTACTACTTATTAGTTAATTATATTTTTTTTGAACAAAAGAAAGAGAATAATAAGAAAATATAAGATCATAAAATTTCCTTTTTTTTTTTTCTTAAATTATAAATATACACACAAGTAAAAAATTATTATTATTTATTTATTTTTTTTTAGTGTACTCACTTTTAGTGTATATGCATATATTTTTTTTTTTTAATGAACGTACTTTCTTAATGGATGTTTTAGTGTACGTATTTATGATTGCATATGATAATATTTTTAAAAAGAATATTAAGATGTTCACCTTAGTGTATTAAATGTTCTAATTTTTATCTTACACTAATTTGCAGATTAATTATTTAATAAAACTAAAAATTATTTTCTTGATTTATAAAAAAGGAAAATTATCAGCTTTTGTGAATTCTTAATAAGACACAAATTTAACATATCCAGGTAGTTAATTACGTATGTAAGATATATGAGACAGTATATATATAAAAAAGAGAAAAAATTAAAAAAAATATATTTTTAGATGTAGAAATAAAAAAGTATTTTTGTTTGTTTCACTGTTTTTTTTAAAAAGAATTTTTTTTTTTTATTATAAGAATGATTTTATTTAAAGGATAAAGTGATAATCATTTTTTTATAATGATTTATTTTAACAAATAATATTATGTATTATAATGTATTCATTGTTATTGAGAGAGAACATATGATTAATATTTTATATTATTTAGAGATTTTTAATGGATTACACAAGCTTCATTTAATTAGAGCTTTAAAGAATAATAAAATTTTGCGTTATCTTTTATCATTAAATCTAAAAATTTATATGAAGGAAATTATTTCATAATAAATATTTTAATTAAAGAAGGTAGTCTTTTTTTTTATAAAGGTTATTTTATAATTAATAGAATGCGAATGAATTTATCCATATATTTTTTATTAATTTATTTATCTAATACTTATCAAAAATCATTAAAAAACCAATTAATAAATCATTGATATATCTATAAATTAATAAAAGAATAAAAAAAAGAACGAAATAATTGAAAACAAATGCAGAAAAGTCTTAATATTATACAAAAAATAAAAATAATTACAGGGTCTCATTTTTACTTCTATTCAATTAGGGAAGTATTGATTACATAGGATTAATCATCTTTATCATAACTTAAGGAAAAAACTAAAAGATGCAAATTATGATATACTCTTATATTTATTATATTAATAAACACACAACTATTAAATGTATTTCAATAAGATAATGGCAAAAAAAAATGTTATTTTTAATTTTTTTTATAACATAGATAAAATTGTATTTTTTTTTTTATTAGTAAAAATTTTTTATAAAAATTATTAGATTTAATTTTTTTCGGTATAACTTTAGGCATTTAGAAAAATTTCACTAAAAAAATTAGATATATTAAAATTGTCACATATTTATGTAATATTAATTTAGGATTCATTTTTTTCCGTTTTAATTTTTTCTATTAAAATTTAAATGTGGAAAGAGTTATATAAAACTTAACAAAAAACTATATGATAATTTCTTAAATTTCTTGTTAGAAATAGAATTTTCTAATGTGTAGTTTAATAAGTCAATATAATGGTGTAATATAACCAATGATCCAAACGATGCACTTCAAATAAACAAGATTTTTTATGTATATTAAAATATCTTTAGAAAATTTACTCAAAACAAAGTAACAAAATAATGATAATTTACACAAATAAAAATTTCAAAAACAATAAAAAAAAAAAAAAATTCTTTTGTGATTATTTTATTTTAATATTTTTCATTTATTTTTTACGCATCATTTTGCTTTGCATTTAACTTCTATTTTCGTGATAATTTTCTTTTATATGCATTTGGATTAAAAAAAAAAAAAATAAAAAGAATATTAATTGTAATATAAAATCAAATTTTTCTGATAAAAAATGTCATATGTAAATTATATCAATGCACTATAGATAATAATAGCATAGAAAAAAATATTAAGATATCACATTTATACATTAAGTATAAGATTTATTATGTATTATTTTAATGTTATGAGTTAAATTGATTATAATTATAATTATCAAAACTCATTAAACATTTGAGAAGATTACAAAGTTATTAAGACTATTTTAAGGTTAGATTAAATGCCATAATTATGAAATTTCTAATATTATAATAATTTATTCTTTTTAAATTTCACTTTTCAAAAAGACTGTACTAACCATATATTATTGGGAACATCCTTCATTTTTTATTACTTTTATTACATTTGGCTCTTTTATTGTTAATTTGATTTTAAAACATATATTATTAAAAATAATTTTCCTTATTTTATCATCTTAAAACATATGTTTTTAATTTTTTTATCTGCTTATTCTATTTTCATCATATATTTCATTATTACTTTTAGATAGATTTTTAATAGATTTGCAGTTTGTTAAACGATCACATTAATAAAAAAATGTATATTGATTTTTCCTTATTTTATATGTTTACTGAATATGTTAACATATTGAATATTTATTAACACTTGTAATATAAATATAAGGTTAACTATATTTAGAAAATATTTTTGAATATATATATAATTTTACTTCTAGAACAAGTTTTTTTTTGTGAATTAAATTTTTGTGTTTAATGAGGAAAAATTTTCAGGATTAAATGTTTTTATTTACTGATAATTATATATTTGAAAAAAAAATATTTTTTTTTAGGAAAAAACATAAGATAAAATTGATGTATTTATAAAAAAAATTGTAATTTTCTAAGATATCATAATTTTTTAGAATGTTTATATATTATTTATTTCAAAATGAGAAGGTAAGTTGAATATATTATATTTATTCTTAGAAAATTCTCCTATATTTAATTATGTAAACGTTTCCTTAATAATTGGAAAATAAAGTAATAATGAAATACATGGAGTTAAAAATATATCTAATTATTACCTTTTTAAAGTTATAATATATAAAATAATTATATCATATAAAATAATTTAATCACATAAAGTAATTTTTTAGTTTATTGTTAAGTGACTTTTTTACTATTAAAAAAGAAGATTAATAAAAGATATGTAGAGAAAACTCTACTTATTTTATTTATTATAAAATATTTTATTACATAAATTATTTATATTTTATAATTTTTATTAAATATGAATTCTATTATTCATTATTTAAGTTAATTTACACAATATTCCATAAATATAATTCTCATATTACATTTTTAAAATTCCATATAAAGCCATTCACACCCTCTAAAAAAAAAAAAAATAAAAAAAAAATTAATTTATTTATCCCCTGGTTTTTACACAATTTTTTTAAGCCAATATTATACACAAAAAAGATGTAATGTTTTTTTATTGTACACGTTTTAAGTGTGAGAATCTGAATACGTACATTTCCCCTCCCCTTCCCCACATATATAGCAAGCATATATAAAGAATATATTTATAGAATTTATTTACTTATATATCATTTAAAAATGTTAACAATTACATTTAAAGAGCAGATATATTTTTTTATTAGAGTCATAATTAGTGAATTACGTAGTGATGGATATATATGATATTTATTATTTTAATTATTTAATAATTATAGAGAGATACTAAATAGTCAATTAGTAATTAATATTACATTATTACTAATTACAAATAATACATTACCCCTATATAATTAAATTACATAATGTAAAATATCCAACTTATTTTATATAGAATTTATAATTATTTAAATAAAATATATTAAATCAATACTTTATCATATTTAATATCTTAAATGATTTATAAAACATTCATATAGTTTAACAGAAATTTTTATTTTTGTTAAAACATAAATAATTAATACCTAAAATTCTTATATAAAAAAAATATATGTATTATCTTTCATCAAAAATTAATTCTCGTGATTAAAATTTTTTTTTAATAATACTAAACATTCATTGATTATTCCTTAAAGAAAAATTTTTTATCCTTATTTTACATATGTATATAAATGTAGAATCATCTCTATAAGTAAAAATATTAAGAAAGAAAAAAAAAGTTTTTTTCTTTTTAAGTATAAATTTTTTTCTTTACATATTCTCTTATATTTCACAATTTTTAAAAAATTATATCGTTACCTTATTTTTTTAAGTGCTATCTGGACAACTACATTTTATAGATCTATGCAAATTTTTTTTATTGAGTACTTAATAAGAAAAATAATATTCTTCATTGACAAATCAATAATTTACTTATAATTTTATTTTCTGTTATAACTAAAATGCATTTCATTTTTTTTCTAAAATTGAATAATTACCTTTTATCATCTTTTCTTTTCAATTAGAAGTAAAAATACTTTTCCATAACTCAATCATTTCTTTTGTCATTTTATATGATGTTTCAATAATGTTACGTGTATGTTTTGATATTTCCTGGATATTACTTGAATTGTTTTCAGATAATTCTTTTAGTAACTTAAAATTTTCTTTTTGTTGTTTTATAGCTTTTTCAGTAAAATAATCTACATCAAGACAATCCCAAATATCTTTTTTTGATTTCATTTCATTAGAATTGCTATTTTTCATTCGTTTATATAATGCATTTAATTTAGTTGATGTTTCATCAAGAATTTCTAAATGTTCGTCTACAATAACTGTAGATAATTTAGCATACTTCTTAAAAGTACATTCTAGCAAATTTTCAATTTCATCATTTATTTCATCTTCTGTTAAAGGTTTATCGGACACTAAATATCTTCTTTGTCGCCTTGATCCTCTATTTCTACTTTTTTTTTTAGGTTTTACCACTGGATCATTATTTGAACTATCATTTAAATTCATACTCTCCAATTTTTCAGCCACATCTAATTCTTCTTCTTCTTTGGATAATCCTGGGATGAATTCAGCAAGTTTTCTTGAATATATATTACATGACTTTAAGTCTGAACCTACCTTAACATAAGATTTATGTATACTCTGAAATAAAGTTCAAAAATATAGTTCATACGAAAATTTTGTAAATTAATATAATTAGAATTTAAATTTATATATCAAAAAAATAAAAAAGTGTATATACTTCTGAATTTCATCTTACTATTAAAAGGATATATAACAGAGTAAAAAATGATAAAATGAAAAGTTTTGAAGACATAATGCTTATGAAATTTCTCTTTTTAATACTTTTTTCTTTTTCTTCATATGAATATCTAGAATAATGGTCATTATTTACAACACTTTTGGCAAGAGGTATTTTTGGAGAGATATTTGATTCAATGTAAAAATTCATATTTAGTTGTTATGTTATTAATACATAAGATAATTTTTTTAAGAAAAAATTTATACTTAACTTTTTTACAGATAATTTATGATATTATTTTTTATATATAATATTAAAACTTCTAATTTTATTAAGATTATAAATAATAATTAAAACTATAAAAATTTAAATGAAAATAAAATTAACAATCATATAAACAGTAAAAAATAGTTATTTTATATAACATTCAGTTAAAACCTGATTATAAAATAATACATACAATAAAACTGAAGTACTAAATGTTAATTATTATTTTTTTTCAAATAAATAATATAAACATTTTATTAATTAAAACATTTAAGAACATTTCTTGAATCTATATGTGAAATGTACATTTTGGTTATGTTTATTTTTACATATTTTTAGGATGATGGTAGCATTTAAAATTCGATTTTATGGATTTTTAATATGTATTTTGTTAAATATTAATTTAAAATCAAAAAAAATTTTTCCATATAACCAGATTATATTTAAAATGTAATTAACCTATTTAAATTATTTTTTTTTATAGTATATATATTGGTATGAAAATAAAAAATCATTAATTTATTTATAAAAATAATGATATTGTATAAAAATACGTTTTTAAAGGTAACTAGTGGTATATTAGAACTCACATATATAAAATTGTTTTTTGATTTTTTTATTCTGTTCTAATTTATTATTTAAAGAATGACAAATTTTGTAATAATTTTATTAAAATTCTTTTAGTAAAAATTTGTTGTATGACAATTGAATAAGTGAAAAAAAAGAAAAACATAAACATTTTGTATATATATAAATTAGAAAAAATACATGCAGTTTTTAATAAAAAGATTATAAATTTTCGTTGCTATTTGTTAATATGATTAGCAAAAAATGAATTATTGAATCGTTGTAAACTTTTTTAGAGTATTCATTAATCAAATTAACGAAATGCATGTAAGCTAATATCTACAAATTTTGTCCATTAAAAAAATACTTCTTGCATTTAATGTATTATACTTATTTAATTATATGATATAACATTGAATAAATTTATTATTCTTAATGTGTCAATTAACAAATTGTTCATGTTGTTTATTAAAAACTTTCATATATTTTTATTAAGGCTTAAATATTTTATATGTACAATTATTTGAAGCCATGTTAGTTTTTTTCTGTAATAAAATTGGGATTTACAACGATTAATTCATAATTTGTTAAAAAAAAAATTTATTGTTACCTTTTTATATATGCATAAGAAAATATATGTTTAAAATAATACATTAGTATGAAAGATAGTCTACATATGTAAGAAAAATGGTGATTGAAGAAAAGTTCAAAAAAAAAAATTTTTTAATTTTTTTTATTAAACATATTTATAAGTTTATGTAATTTTTTAAAATTGAATTGCTAAGGTACAATCTGAAATATCGTACATATCAACTAAAATTTTGACTCAATTATATATTTTCATATAAACTTTATTGAAGATTTATTAAATCTATCATTAAATAAAAGTATAATGATTTTTTTAAATTTTATTTTGATATTTTTTTTCTTCATGTTCACAAGAAAACATTTTTATATTTAACATAATTAACAAAAAATAAAAATAATATAGGCTAAGAAACGATTATAGTTACAACATAGTAATGCTAAAGTATAAATATAAATTATATGTTAACCATAATTAAATATATTTATAATGATTTGAACAATAAAATTAATAAAAAAAAATTTAGAAATATTTATATTTTACTTATTATTACTTTACTAATTATAAATAATAATACACTCCACATGAAATTATGTTATACAATATAAAATATTTAATTTATTTTAAGTTTGAATTTTTTAAATTAATGAAATATTAAATATATAGCATTTATAATTTACTTAAAAGTTTTTAATATTATGTTAAATTTAATTTTTATTCATTCATAATTTATTCATAATAGAAAATATTGACATTCGTTGATTGTATGTTTCTTAAAGAAAATCATCATATATCAAAAAAAAGTTTTCTTTTATTATAAATATATATATGTATGCATACATATTCAGTATACTCATTTTAATGTATTGGTTTACTAATTGATCCTTAAAATACTTTTTTGAACTTTGAATAGTTAAAATAACAAAAAATATGTAGAGAAATGACTACCTCTTTTTAAAAACTAATTTTATAATATCAATATATCTATTAATAATTCATTAGTTAATTTTTACATTTATTCTTCATTTTTTTTTAATAATAAGCTAATATTTAATTTAGTAATATTATTATATAAAATTAAATAATTCATTATATTCTGTATACATTATTACAATAAAAATAATTTTAAATTATTATAGTTATTCTTCAAATATCCTAAACATTGATATCTTTAAAATAATTAAAAAGAAATATTATTCCTCATATTAAATATAAAAAAAAATTGATTACTGGTGTACGTTTATTTGTCTGAAAACATTTTTTTTTTTATGTACTTTAATACTAGAGACATACTCTCTAGTGTAAATATCTTAATGCACATTTTTTGGGACTTTTTATTTGCAAAAATGAAGTTGAATTTATATTACATTCCCTCTTATTACAGTTATATATAAGTTAGTAATAATATTTATATATCACATTTGAGAAATTTACATTTAGTTTGCTTATTATTTAATCACTTATTTTACATAATTTGTACCTCTTATAAAATTATTTGTATGGTATGTAATGAACTAATTTATTTTATATCTTGTTTTTTTAAGAACATATTTCGATATTGTCTGTTATAAATTATTATTACTTAAAAAAAAAATAAACATTTATACATCAAAAAAAAAAAAAAAAAAAAAATTAATTTAAAATATACATATAAGTTATCACAAAAAAAAAAAGAGGGTAGCAATTATTTTTGTTTTTTAAATTATATTATTGCTATTATTTATATATATAAAAGGATATACTTAGATAAGCTTCTAAATAAACAAATCTATGATAAGATTTCTTATGGTTATATTTACATACAAATTATTTGATATATATAACTTTATTTGTATATTTTTTTTACACACCTTTTAATTATCTTGAATCCATGGTATATAAATAATATTATAGAATTATTTTCAATTATATTTAAATAAATAAAATGAGTAAAAACATTTTTATTTATCAATCTAAAATGAGGCGAATATATAAACCTATAAACACGTACACTAAAAAAGATAAGTATGCAAAAAGTACGTATATTGAGTAAAAAATTACATGATCTAAAAGTATATTATAAAAAAAATATAGATATATTTTATTATATTTTATTCTTGTGTGTGAACTTAAAATTATAAAAAAAATATTTTTTTTTTTTGAAAGATTAAAAATGTAAGATGTGATACATGGGACATTATATCAATTAACAATAATAGCAATTAACTATTGTAATTAATATTTGATATCGATTAATAAAAGTGAATAATTTACTTTATATTTTAATTTAATAAAAATAAAATAAGTAGAGCTTTCTCTAAATGATCCTTATTAATTTGTTTATTCAATACTAGCAAAGCTATTGGGCAGGTAATTAATAAATCAACTATGGAGATAAGGACATTCGAATCTCACTTCTAAAATTAAATTATTATGTAATAAAACTAGATGGATATACAAAACTCAAATAAAAAACTTGATGAAAATAACGAAAGGATTAAGAAAAAGTTAGAACTTATATATGAATTACAATCTAAAAACTGTTCTGATATTAAAAGAAGAGATATTACAGCGTAATATGAGCTGAACTATAATGAAGACTGTAAAATATATAACAATATACAAAAAGGTGTCGAGATTGTAAAACAAGTCAAAAAAAATAAATTTGAATAATATATTTATTTATGCTAAAATGGTGGAGTATAGCCTATAAATGGTACTATCAACCTATTTTCAATAATATTTAAATAAATAAAGTAGAAACATTTTTATTTGTGCATGCTGAAATACAAGAAAAATCTTAACACAAACAAGTGCACTAAAAAAAATGTATATATAAAAAGTATGTACAGTAAAAAAAAATACCTGCACTAAAAAGGATCATGTGAAGTATTTTTTTTTAATTAGAAATGTAGTACAAGAAAAATTTACATACATATAATATTGTGTAAAATAATTAAAAGCAGTAATTAACTAATGGAATTAATATTTGATATTAATTAATTAAGGTAAATAATTTGCTTAAAATATAATTTTGTTGAAAACATAACAATTATAGTTTTGTCTGTATGTTATTTATTAATTTCTTTGTTCAATATTAGAGAAACCATTGAACTAGGAATTAATGAAACTATATATGAGTAACTCTTTAACCTTTTCATTTTATTATGTGCAAATTTCAAAAATGTCAATGAAACCTTTTATTGACCAAAGACAAAAAAAAAAAAAAAAAAATAAATAAATAAATAAAATACAGGATTTATTTTCGTTTTGAATACTAATGCAATGAGATATGAAAATGTAACTTTTTTTTTCTATTATAGTTTCATTTATTTTACTTTTTCTTTTGAAATTATTTAAGTAAAATAAAAATTCATTTTATAAAGAAAAAATTTTCGTACTAAATTTTTATCCATCATTTTATAGTGAAGAAATTAAATAAGTTACATTATTATAGTTATTACTTTTTTATATTTATTAATGAATTATATTTCTTAATTATCTATTTATTTAACTTTATTTTATTCTTGTTAATTTGTTTTTTAAGGTTACCTTTCATTTAGTTTTTTTATGTGTAATAATTTTAAAAATATCATTATTAATAATTCATTTATTAATTTTTTTATTATATAATTCATTTAATTAATTGACTATTATTTATAATAAAATTAAAAGATTTAACATTCTTTTTAGTTTAATATTATTTTTTATTGAGACAAAATAAATAAATTATGATGTATGAATAAATTCTAATTTTAAAATATAAAAATATAATATTGTACTCAGTAAATTATACATTATTCAGAATTAA